ATATGTGACACCTGCACTTATGGTTATAATACATATTAAATAGGAGATTAAAAAATATGCTACCGTATTTAAAATTTTAATCTTAATTTTAATTTATAGAATGCAATTAATAAAATGGAGCCTAAATTAAAACTTTAAGATGCTAATTTGAGAGAGTTGAGGAGAGTTTAATAATTATCCAGAAGAATATTACATCATGTCTTGGAGGGTTTGTAGATCCAATAACTGGAAATTGTGTTAGTAATTGTGGAATCGGTAAATATGGAAATATCACCTTAGGTTTTAATGGAATGATTGAATAGACTCTATGTTTGGACTGTGATTCAACTTGTTTCGAATGTTCTTCAAAATATTAATGCTTATCATGCAAGTTTGGATTTTACCTAGATCTCAAAACTTAAACCTGTAAATAAAAGAGTGGATAACTAGAGACTACAATATATGTTAAATCTCAAGAATATAACAATTAATATAATGGTGATGGCTCTATAGAATACCCTTTTCGTTCAATTATTGATGCTCTTACAAATTCGTATGAATTAGGATCTCCTTATGAATCAGCAACCATAACAATTCTACTTTTTTCAAATTAAAATCACTCAATGCTAAGATATGACACGAAATAAAGATTATTTGTAAACAAAGATAAGAATGCTTAATCGACTAAGATTATCATTGATACTGTAGATCATGTTTCTGTCAAAGTCTATTACAAGATGAGAGATAAATTTTAATTCCTGGTGGGAGCTGGTCTAACAATCAGGAATATTGAATTTGATGCTGTAGATTCAATACTAGATATTCGAGAAGGAAATATAAACTTGGATTTATTAAACAATGATAATTATAAATGTCTATATTCTCCAAATTCTTCTTGCTGCAGCTATAATTATGATTAAAATGAGTAAAAATTTATACTTAAAGGATAAGAATTTTGCCAACTTACCAATTAAAAAGAACATCAGATTATAATATCTGATTCTCAAAATGGCTCAAATAATGAGCAACAATTTGGTTCGATAATAAAGGTAATTTTATTTACGAAAGTAAAGTGTTTATTTTATAGTTTGATATTAGTCATGAAACTATGCTGAAATCTCCACCTATTTTAATACTAGAAGTAAGAATTATTTTGTCTTGTTAATGAAATTTAGAATGTCACACTCAAAAACTTTTTGTTCAATTATCAAACATTGATTGAATTAAATGAGATCGGAGGTCATGTCGAAATAATTAATTCCTGTTTTTAAAACATAAATTCATA